GATACATCACAAAATGAATTCCTGTGAAGGTTTCTTATCCCGTAATCACGATCAAGCCTAGGGTTTTGGTATCATAACAGAAACAAAGACCTCCTCCCCTCTCCCTGACATACAATAACACACTCTCCGTCTCCCGTTACAGCGCAAATGCCGTCCACAATGGAGGTCGAGCTGCAAAACAAAACAAGTATTGCAAGTATTAAGAGACGTGTCAGCAAGAAGTGGACTTAAAGGGCAGTGATCTAGCAAATGATTATCGTAAGTGTTTATCGCTTTCATTCTTTGCTTGCAGTAATCTCCAAAGCATAATCATAATATTTGGATAATGATCCAAGAAAACGCCATTCCCTGAACAACATATTGATGATCACTGACAAATACAAATGTGATCATTCATTTTGTTGGTAAAAAAAAACATACAAAAACAAACAAAAACTTACACTGAGAACTGTACTGCCCTGTTGTACTCCTCTGCGTCGATAAAAAAGAGGTGAAAGCCGTGATCTTGAAGGCCTGAAGAGAAACAGCGTTGGGTAATAAAGACATCACTTTGCTTATGCACACACCGTTATAAATTAGTTTACTAGCTGTGGAAACCACTCAAAACGTAGGTATTTTCCATACCTTCGTAGACGACACAGAGAGGCAGTACACTCGCAGGTCTCTTTGCTACAATTACTTCATAAGGGCGAGCTAAAAAGATTGACGAAGGAAGTAAGATTTCTAATTATAGGGACAAGGATATCAACATTGAAGGTTTGAACACCATTTAAGCTTAATGACTATAGCTTAACCTCACAGGGTGACAAGTCTAGATATAGTTGCCGTAAACTTCCCATCGTATCTGATAACTATAGGGTATAAAAGGGCAAAGTTATGATTTACATACCTTCGACAGTTTTTCCAAAAGCCTTTAAAACCAGCTCAGGATCTGGAAATGCCTTACCGACCATTAGGTAGCTCGAAGTCAAAAATTCTTGTTGAATATTTGCAAAGATTTGGGTGCAAGAACCTTAGGATGTTAAGGGCCGTTTGCAAGCCACGGAAACTTTCAACTTCCTAATGGGACGGCGAAGGCCGTATGATTGAACAAAGTGTTCTAGGCGTTTCTTTGGCCGCTGTGAGGAAGAGATAAAGGAATTTTAGCGAATTAAAGTAAGGTTTAAACTAGTACAACTGCGTATCAAAAATCTCAGGATTGCATCGGTTCGCTTTATTCGGCCTGTTGTCTCAAACTTGCATTGCAAGTAAGAAGATGCAACAAACGTTAGAAGTCCCTTCAACAGAATCTGCTAATATAGATTCCAATAAGTTTGTCAATGAATATAAGAACCGCGCATATTGTCAGTCATATCCAAAAAATTAAACTTTTTTAAAATTCTTTTCGATCAGACTGCTGCATTGACTATGGCTCACTGGCACGATTTGCGCGCCATCCTTTTTATTTGTGACCGCTGACCGTTGAGGCTTTGCGTGGAAAAGAAAACTTTCAGAGCCCAGTTGTATAAAATTAAACTGATAAATCACTACCCAACAGATAAGTGATGGCAAAACGTACAGCGTTATCCAACGGATAGAGATTTATCTAATGGATAGTGATATCCGATCTTCGATCTTTTTTATCGGCGTACACGGCTCGGTGTTGTCGTCTTTCGATTTTGCTTCTTTTGTCGTAGTGCGGTCCAGTAGAGAATCTACGGCTAAGTCTTCAAAATGGAAAATATCGCCGGTAAAAATTATTAGGCTGACTTTTTTTTCGCTAGAAAAGCTCCGGAAAACATTATAACTTTCTCCTAAATGTGAAAAAAATCTATTTACGAAAAAAGAGGCTAGAGTCCAAACTCCGTGGAAAATGTATTAAACTTGTTAAATAAGCGACAAAATTTGGCTGAAATAAAAAGTCCGAAACTTCCTAAAAATTCCAAACAAAGGAGTAACAAATTTACGAGAAAGAAAGCTCAAAAATAACTAAAACTCCGCGAAAGCAAACTAAAAGTACGCGAAAAATGTCTACGTCAGTTTTCCAATGTCAAGGTTAGAGTTCTTTGACGTGATTGGCTCATTTGTGAAATTACGCGCGCCGCCCGTGAATACAAAAAGCATACGAAGTGGGGGAGAGGAAGAGTAAAATTGTTACTTGAACTTTAAAAGCGGAAGAGATTTTCTATACTGGCTTTGCAAAGTTCAGAAACTTCACGAAAGGATGATCAAATCACAATCGTGGTGGTGAACCAAAGTTCGCTTTTTCTCCGTCCTAATTGAAATATTCTTGAATAGCACTTTATAGTTTGGGCTTTCATCTGGCATATCGCTATTTTTTGTCCATTTATTTTCTTTAGTTTTCTTT